AGTGAAAAAAGTGCTGAAATGATATTCACTTATAGGGTTGCTTTACTAAACCAAGCCAGGTGCTGGTCTCTGCGTTTATCTGATAGTTTTCTTTGACAAGTGGTAGTGATTAGCTCATCGTTCTTGATCTAGTGGTATCATTGCAAATTGAAGAGACACCACGAAGACAGGGCTAGCGCTGTTGTAAGCTGTAAAGAGTAGCTTGATAACGCTTCACGATGGCAGATGTATCGAGACTATACATGAGCACAGCGAATGCGGCTGCATTTAGGATGGTACAGTGATCGTTTGATTCGCCAGTGTTAGTCCAGTACTCCCGTTCAGTTGTGCATCGGAGTCTTTATCGTCAAACGAAATGCTTAAAGGGCGTTTGAAGTAGTCCCCCTTTTCAGTAGCAATCCCATTCCATAATATCGTCGGGTTACAGGTCGTGGCGGGCATTCTCATAACCATCGTCTTGTTGGCGTCGATTTTTAGTGTCAATCGCACTGCGAGAGTCAGTACGCCAGCGGCGTGCGACATTAATCTCGATCCGATTTATTGCGGAAACAAATGTCACGTTGGCCCGTCAATTTTTTCTCTCTGACGGGTGTAGATCCGCTTTAGTTCTTGACAGGTAGCGGTGTCCGTAGTAGCAAATTTGCTGTTTTCCATTCAGAGCGCTTCGCAGGTGACAAGTTCTTTCTGTATGTCTGCATGGAAGCAGGTGTTTCTCCTTTCCAGCATGTTCTTTCGGTAACGCATCCTTCCAGACGGGTGTAGAGCAGTTACGTCTCCGGGAAGGTGGTAGTGCCGATAATAACAAACCTGCTGCCGGGATCGAATATGCTCAAGAGACAGTCTTTGTATTAATTGTGAATTCCCTTCAGCACGGAATTAACCTTAAGCGCTTCAGTACGTCTAGCCGGAAAACGGGTATTAAGTCGGTGACTTGCAAACAAATAGGGACAGCATGGTATTGTGTACTGGTCATGCAAGAATGGATGAAGTGTACGACCATGCCGTTCGATGCGAGCTCCCCTTAGTGTCTCCCCTTATCTCTGAACAACCTTAAACTTGACTATCTAGTGTAATAATGACTACAAATATATCGTACTCTTGGCTAGAGCAATAAGTTGCTTATTACCATCAACGTTTTTGGAGCCAAAAAATGTGATGTGAAACATCTCGACTGCAGGTACCGTAATGCCATCGAGTCACGGCAAGGTTAAGCGTTCTTTAGAAAATTAATAACAAGGAACGGTGGAATATGCTGAGAAATTTGAGCGTTCTTTAGAAAATTAATAACAAGGAACGGTGGAATATGCTGAGAAAATTGACGTCTTGGAGGAGTTATGCGACATTCAACATGCTTATCATACACTTACATTTCGCTATGCATAACAGAAAAGAAAGAAAAACGCGTTTGGGACTGTTTTTTATCAACACAATTATCTGGTAGTAATGACATTCGAATGACATCGTAAAAGAAAAATCACTCACGCCGCAGTTTCTCGAGGGCAGGCGTAGAGACACAACGCTTTCGTATATGCCGAAAGACCTTTGAGCCACGGCCGCTGCTGGCACACAACGTCAACGCCGATTCGTTGCCGTGTGAACGCTTTGGTGACGACAGTACCAGCGAAGAAGCCATGCTCATGTTGTGAGTCCTGACCCAGTAAGTAATGAACTCGACAAACGGGATGACGGTGAAGAAGTTGCTCGGGTAAATGCCGATGGCGTTCTTAGTGTGATCACTCTTGTGTTGAGGCAGATCTTCGATGCGAAACCACTGAATGCGCTTGATCTCGTGTCTGGTCTGCGGCCGAAACACGAACTCCTGTGACACGCCGGTGATTAAGTACAAACCGACCACATTTTCGCCGACTTTCCGTTCCACGTACAGACTTTCATCAATCTTGTCGCCGATGTCGAAGCCAGTCTCTTCAAGCACCTCGCGGATAGCACAGTTTTGCGGTTCTTCATTTTCATTCACCTTATGAAATCGTCGCGTTCAATCTCATATGACAGCTGTTTCATCACAATATAGAAAAACGTTTTAGACTAACGGTCGATCACTTAACTAATTACTACTATTACTCATTATTATAATACATCAATGTATTCATTATGTTAAGCTACGCTGTACCCATAACTAAATTTGCATCTTCATCTTCCATGGCCGCTTCTGCTTTCGGGTCGCGGGCACAAACACC